CCCCCCCCCCCCCAAAAAAAAAAAAAAAAAAAAAAAAAAAAGGCAGTACAACATAAATGACAATCCCAAGCAATGTAGGATTTCATTTCTGTGTCCTACTCCGTACATGTTATAGAAAATGTCTACGTGGTCGGACGTGTTTATCCTTGCGCCTACCCCCTTTAGCAAAACCCTGAATGCGTCAGTGACAGTGGTGACTGCATTACAAATATTGCATGCTTTGTATTGCCTACATGAGAGGGGGGTGATAGAGTACGCTGATCTATTTATCTATCTGCTTATCTCTCCGTCCGCGTGCCTATACGTCTTCTTTGTCTTTCAGAATAAGATTAAACATATTCAGGTAAACTTATTCCGTTTGCCCTTACAATAAGACGGCAATGAGACGTTTATCAAACGGTTTTTGGGGACAGATTTAAAGACAAATGGCTCTAGCGTCCCAGCGGAAGACTCGGTGAATGACATATTAATGAAATGATCATTTCGTTTGGCTTATGTTGGTGTCACCCCACTAATGTTCATTACAATTCATGTCACACTGCATTCTGGTGTAATTAGATACGAGTGAGTATACGGACACCCAAATAGTTCGGCTCATGATTTTTGTTCTCCTCTTCTTTGCTTCTTCGCTGAAAAAATGCATTTATTTATTTGGGCAAGAAGTTTTTTTTATTTGTTTCGGATTAGTTTCAAGTTTTGAATGCAGTTTTGAATAATGTTTGAGCATTATTTAATGGTCAGAACGGGTATACTGCTGATAATAATTTAAGTTACTGTGCTATTTAGATGAACATTTTGTCATATCAAACACGTAGTTTATATTTCTTTTACATATATTCCATTCAGTTCCTTGTTATTTATTTTTAACTGATTTCTTTTGTTTCCTGCATAGTTCTAAAGTTCTACATCAGCTTAAAAACGTGGCATTTGGCGACCACTAGTGCATTTGAACCGTATTACAGTATACTCAACAATACACTCCATATTTGTCGACACACTCTCGTTACTAATCCAGTAACGTGATTTTGTGAAACACTGTATTTACTGGAGGAACATCGCTGATTTATTTCTGTGGATAGACAGCCTTATACCTATCTGCTAGACACGCGCCAGCGCACGAAAACACATAACCAAACAGCTAACAAAACTCTTTTTCTTTTCATTTCTTNACTCTCTCTTTTTCTTTTCATTTCTTCTCTCTCTCTCTCTCTCTCTCTCTCTCTCTCTCTCTCTCTCTCTCTCTCTGCACAACATTGCACCATTTTTTAATCTAAATATTTCATTAATGCAGTCGTTCTCGTGCACATCACGCTAAACCGTTTGGTTGCAAATATGCCAAATATGCCACGCATATGCACTTAGCGAGCTTTGTATCAGATCAAACGATAACGACACCTAGCGATATATAGATGTTAAATCTTAACATAACTCATGCAGACGACATGCATGCCTTCCTATACAAATGGCTTTTAAAAACAGACAAGATCTATAAAGAAATAATGGTGCACAAATTACCTCGCTTACCTTTTAAACCACTCTGCCCCAATTTTATCATTGTTCCGTCTTTCCCTCCCTCCATCTCAGACATATGCATCTACCCCAACAAAACATAAACGAAATGGCCTCTTCCACAGACCCTATATGTATTCCCTCTCACTACCTTGACTTGTCCGTAATATTGACGTTTTTCGTATATGTCCCAGTGCTGTCCTTTTCATGACTTTATCCAATAAAACGAAAGGGAACTTTTGACTTGTGTCAGGTATCGATATGCGGTCACCCAGTGATATTCTCCTCCTTGTCTGCAAACGTTTATAAACGATGCCTTGTTATATGAGGACTCCACTCAACTTAGACGCATCCCTTCCGTTCACCAAACCTCACTTTTCTGGCTAGTGGTTTTTGCGCTGTGTCTAACTGTGAAGATTAAGATGAAGATGAAGTTCTTTCTCTCCTCTATGCGTCTTTTTCTCTGCAAGACTCGAGGTTATATAGATCTCTATAGACATGTGTGTCAAATGGTAATGAAGGGACTCCCGCGGTCGCTATTTCTTTGGGATATTTCCGTTACTCACTCGATCCTAGACGTGGAAATAAATCACGTTTCTGATTAAAATATAACTATTTAAATTAATCCCCGAGGATACATGGCCAGGACATACGTCGTAGTTCCTTTAAATAAATTCCATTGAATCGTGACCAATGAATGTAGCAATTTAACTAAATATCAAATTCACATTAACCCATTCACTTCTAAAATGAGATGCACCGTTCCGAAAGCGTTCCCTCTGTCACGCGTTAATGACATTAAGCGTCTGTCGGATGAAGAGGGATGCGTGTAGAGAGCGTTCAGCTGGTTTTAAGTGATGCACGGCTCATTTCCCCGTGACAGTAATCCCGTTTGTATACACCTTTGGTATGAACACATACTAAACACAGCCAAGAGATTCTCTGACTCCGCAAGAGATCTTTCCATATTATCGGTATTTTCTATTTTCCCTCAGTCTGTTTTACCGAGTTTATCATCCATTAATTAATTAACTAGTTATATTTATTTATTTATTTAATTATTTATTTATTTATTCAATTCAGAACATTTGCTTCAGCATGTGTTGATAATGATTTAAAAAGTCAGACAGAGAGTAGAGTAATAAACTTTTTAATTATTTGGAAAAACTGGAAAAAATTCAGACAAAACATGCAGGTGATAATGACAAGCTTTTGGTAAAACATAACATTCATAATAGAAGCAGTTTACCAAAGAATTTCTATTTTAGAGTAAAGCAAAGGCTGCCACCTTGCGGAGGACAAAAAATTAACCCTTACGAAAATTTCCTATTGAGTCCAAAGGGGTGTCCTATAGAAAATTGGCCCCAAATCCTATAAGGTCCTTTGGGAAATATTTCCTGGTTAGGAGTTCTATAGGAACTCCGATAAAATCCTGTAGGGTTCGTATGGAGTCCTGTGTAAGTCCTATACAGCTATATAGAGTCCATAGCATCCCAAAGGACGTCCTTTAGGACATCTTCGTAAGGGAAATATAATCCTGTACACGTAGCCCCCGCTCCCCCCCTTCCTCATTTTTCCGGAGTATTTATATTGTGACTAAAAAGACCCACAAACGGTACTCTCTGACCACAGGGTTCGCTGTAATCTTGTCGGTGTTAAATTTTGTAACCAACAACGACCCCTGTGGTCAGAGAGTAAGAGGTCGTTTTGTAAGTCACCAATTTCGAGAATAGGCGAGAATTGTCGTGAATATTATGTTGTCATCTTCAAATCGGCACGCAAGTAGTTAAATGTTATATGTAAAAGAAATTGTCACATTGGCTACATGTATATCAAACGCTGGATTTTCCACATGTTGAATATTTTTCTCAATTGTTTTGCCTTTTGGTCGTTCCCTTAAAGGGAGTGAATATGTTATCCCACTGCTATTTCGGTTTTGGTAGTTATATGTTCTTTAGTCCCCCTTTTTCAATTGATTTTGAGATATATTTTGCCTGGCTTTACATGTCGGATTTTACAAGTAATGCGTGGAACATCGCATTTCATATGATATGAGGCATTCCCATCACTGCTTTTATGTACTAATCACCCCCTTTTTTTTGTTCCTTTAAGCTAAAATAGCTTTCAAGACTCACGCTAATACATTACTCTCCATGAAACCACCTGATCTTTTTCTTTCTTTCTTTTTTTTTTTTGGTACAAACAACTGTTCTTTTTTTAAACAAGCAATATCCAATCAGATCCATCCACACATGCAACAACAAGTTGTATTAAGTCCAGCGCACATGGTGCCGAACGCGCTGAGCTATCAACTCTCAACGCTTGAGGCCTAATATTTGAGTGCACTCCACCCTCCTACCAAATGGAGCCTTTGACCGAACGTGTAATTTTTTTCGTTAAGTCACAAGGTGCCAATGGAATATTCAACAAAGCGAGATTTGGGAGCTGAAAAGAGAATCTCGTGCGGCCGGTGACTCAGCCTCGTAATCATCGGTGTGCGTCGGGCAGAAGGAACGGTATAAAACTCGCGCTCGCAACAAGTGTCGCACGCATCGCCATTGCCAGCTTTGAAACCACCGGGAAATCATATCAGACAAAGCGCCAGATATTTTCTTTTGAGCAAAACATATCTATAACCTATAGTTGCATATTTGAAAGCTCGTTACTCAAGAGGCAGGGGCATCAGACGGTTATCTATTTAACTGACTAGCGTTTTCTTTGAATGATGGAAAAGCTGACTATAAATCCAATCGTGCTTCTGGGCGTGGTTTTTGCGTAAGTAGCACTTTTTCTTTTAATTTGTACAGAATTATGTATTAATAAGGCATGTACACTCTTTTCTGGAGACGACTTATTGCTGGTCTTCTGGGGTTACACCATTTCTTCAGCATGACGTCAGAGGGCCTAATTTTTAAGTTATTTAACCCAAAAACACGGTGAGCCTGTAAAGTACTTTATATCTTGAGCACTGTGAGCTAGCAAAATTATAGCTTCTCTTAAGAAATCTGAATAAAAGAATTAGGAGAGACATTCTTTTTCGGGGCCACAAGAAGAAATAATTCGGTCTTCCCTTTGGAAATATATACATGTATGCACCCACAGAGTCGTGACTAAGGACAACAAACAATGAAATCAAAAAACAACACCTTCACGTTATTTGGTAACGTATATATCGGTAACGTATCTATCATATAAACAATTTCAACAAACGGTTTCAAGACAAGTAATCTATACTCGCCCTGCTTTTTCTTTGTGTTGTAATGTAGTATACCGTAAGAAAACAACAAACAATAAAAATAAAAGTATTTATTTATTCTATTTTCATTGGTTGTCTTTCGTTTTGTGGGCCAACACTTATGTCTTAATGTTACATTGAAATAAAAGAAAACGAGACAAAAAATATCTCTTGCCTTCAACTATCTGTGAAAATTGTTCATATGATACATACGTTACCGATACATACGTGACCAAGTAATATGAAGGTGTTGTTTTCTGATTCCATTGATTGTTCTCTGTTGTCACGACTTTGTGAGTGCGTGCGACGTTGTATATGTGCGCACGCATGTTTGTACGTCGCTCATTTTTATTTGTTTCGTAAATATGATAGATTCGTGTTAATTCACCGTATAGATCTTAAGGAAAATAGAAGTATATATATTGATGCATCTTTGAAGATCTATATTACAGTTGTAAAATACAATCCGAGCTTTCGGCCCCCGGGCCTTCTTCGGGGATCTTCAAAGATGCATCAATATATATACATCTAGTAAATATGATACATACGTTACCGATACATACGTTACCATGTAGCGTGTACATACTTTTATTTTTATTGTTTGTTGTCCGTTTTTGAGCAAACGCCTTTTTCTTAAGGTATACTACATTGCAATAAAAAAAGGAAAAGCAGGGCAAGTAAAAATTACTTGTCTTGAAACTGTTTGTTGAAATTGTTTATATGATAGATACGTTACCGATTAATAAGTTACCAAATAACGTGAAGGTTTTGTTTTCTGATTTCATTGTTTGTTCGCTGTTGTCGCGACTCTGTGCTTGCATTGTATATATGTGCACACGCTGGTTATTACGTCGCTCATTCTTCTTTGTTACGTTAATATGATACATACGTTACCGATACATACGGTAATGGTAACGTATGTATCGGTAACGTATGTATCATTTTTACGTAACAAAGAAGAATGAGCGACGTAAAAACATGCGTGCGCACATATACAACGTCGTAGATGTACGTACAAAATGCCAGACGATGATAATCTCACTGTATTGTGTAGGGCGCAGAGAGGCAAAAATCACATTTTTTTATGCAAATCGTGCTTTTTTGGGGGGGGGGATACCCAAAAAATGCGAGAACCTAGGGAATATACGAGAATATCACTGTAGCCTCATTGGAACTGCCATAGGGAGAGTTCAGATAAACCAAGTGGCTGGATCGACCCAACTCTCCGGGGATTGTCGATTCAATGCATTCAATGTAATCAGCTTTATTGTCTGACACCCCTCCTCGACCAGAAAGGGGGTAACTAACTATCGTGCGCGTTCTTTCACTCGAGGAGGCGCGTCAGACAATTAAGCTGATGACACTGAATGCACTTGAGAGAGAACCCCCCGCAGAGTTGGTTCGATCCAGCTAGCACGATGGGTTTATCTGAACGTGGTCAGACTCACAGTTATTATTATTTTACCTCACATAGATGCGCGGCACTGGTCAACTGCGTGACGAATAAAGCCGATAAGTACAAACCTCGCTACTTTGGAGCGGACGATCCTGAGACCAATAAGGTTCGAAAAGAGGCGGCAAGGATGTGGATGGCAGAGAACCAAAACAGAGGTAATACCAATAGACTTCAACAATTTCTCCTTAATTACCAATGTACACCTTATTTTAAACTGTTCGTGCGATTATGTCCATAAATGAAACCCACTTAAGTTCCAAATTTCTCTCCTTTATTAGCTTAACTCGCAACGTGGATTCACTCGTGACTGTAAAAATGAGAAATTTCCACTCGAAAACGGGTTTATACATTGTAATTTTCGAAACAGTTTTGAATAGGTCATATAAGTTTTAAGTAGCTTATGATAGTATTTTTAAATTTAAATTGAACAGATTCAATCAATTCTCTTAATCTTAAATATTAGTTTAATTTCGATATCGCTTTCGTCACTCCAGGCTGCCCTGCAATCATTAAGAAGATAACTAAAGAGTGCAAGGGACGCGTTCCAACAATATCGAAGCCCTCCCTTGATAGGCAAGAATGTGAAAAGTAAAGCATTTCTCTCTCCATCTCTCTTGTACACAGTGTACTTCATTCTCTCTCTCTCTCTCTCTCTCTCTCTTTGTGTGTGTGTGTGTGTGTGTGTGTATACTTAACTCTGGGGCATTCCACCATACCGGGATCATTTGCAAATGTGCCATGAATGATAATTTAGGAAATATCTGTTCTCACAAAATTCTACTTTTTTAAAGGGTTATTTAAAAAAAGCGTAACGATACAGAATGTGATAGTTAAATTTTATCATTTCAGAAACCTCGAACATATGTTTGACAATCGCCGGTGCCTGAAGGATACTTCAAAGATATACTTCCTTCGGGAATGTCAAGATGAAATTGAAAAGCTGCTGCAGGATGCTCACCAGATGCATGTTGAAGAACAGCGCCGTTGTCACGAAATGGCCGAATTATAAAAAGTGCCCCACAAATTACCTAATTTACAGGAAATTTATTCGTTTGCTCTTGATTTTTTTTATTATTATTATAAAATTTTATTTTACCCTCTTATATTCTAGTCGAACATATTCGGCTTCATGTTCCCATACTCTGCCCCATGAAATTTTTCTTTAAACAAATGTCATTTGTTCTGAAAAATAGATTCAAAGTAAGGACAGGCAAATAAAATAATTTTTCTGAATTGTTGGTTGTTGAGTAGAGACATCGAAAATCAGTTTCGCAAACTTATTGCTTTCGGTTTCTATTTAGTCGCTTCTAGGTTAGAAAAAATTTCTTACGTATCTCCAGTGTATAATATGTGACTCTGTTAGCCCGTGGGACAAAGTAGTTTAGTCGACATAGTTATGATGATAAACCTATCAAAACATGTATAAAGCATATTTAAGAAAGGGTGGTCCTAACAAGATGTGTGGGGATTTTGGGTTAACTGTGTTGGTCAGATACTGTACTAGTATTCGGACACCGTTGATTTTGTCATGTAAATTCAATTTAGTTAAGATATTGTGTTATTAATATCATATTAGGTGATTCGAAACTATAACATTCTTTAACACATGGATATCCATTATTTCAGTACTTGTATAACCATGTAGGATCATCCCTTAAATGTACATTGGAATTTTGCTTTGGGAGATTTTATTCTTTCATAGTTATGAATGCTTTGATTAGTCTTAAATGATCGCTCAGCATATCTATCCAGTCGAAGTCATCTATACAACTGCCTTGTTTTCAATATGAAAAAATCAGAAAATTGTTAAAATTGTGAAATCAGAAAATATATAATCAGGATTACAGAATACTAGGATTTCTTTTTTTCCTTCATATCTTTTCGCGCAGGATGTAGGTTGGGGTTAGATGAGCTCGGCCAATAATACATGATCGGTCATTTAATTCATGGCGATCGGCATTACAAAAAGGGAAATATTATCAAAATTTGTTTTTGCCCGCACACTCACACTGTTCGTCTGTGTACCGGAGTTTTTATGTTTTTTTAAATATAATGATCTAGATGAACGCATTATCTTGCTTGTTTTTCACTCAGTGTATGTGTCGAATGTGCCGGGAGCAATGCTTTTATACACCAAAATCTTTGGAAAACATCCCATCTTTTTTCGTAGCGTTTTAAGTCCATTATTGATAAAAACAGATCCAGCACCTGCGCACTCCTTGTGTTTTTCAAGCGTCCGTCTGTCGCTTTCTAGAAAAGTCTCTCAGGAAATAAAACACGCAAAGATATAATGAATATGTAGGCCTTCTGTAAAGAGACTGGACGTGTTTTACCCATAAGGCAAGTACTGTAATTAATTGACAAAGTGAGAGAATACATTTATCCCTAATTCTTTTTACTATATTTTAATAAATGAATTTAACTATACATATGAGGGTGGGGTGGGGTGAGTTGGGTTGGGTGGGATGAAAGATTATAGCAGGCACAAATGGATTTGCAGGGGAGACCAGCGGTCTGTTTCACTGAAGAACTTAGGGACCATTCCCAGACCCTATCGTACTATCAGGATCGATCTAACACCGAGGGAATTCTCGCTAAATTGCATTTAGTTTAAGCGGTCTAAATGTCTGTCACGTCCACTGTATCTGCTAGCCGTAGCTAATAAATTTTTCGCGCACGCTTAAACTAAATGCAATTTAACAAGCAACCCCTCGGTCCCTTAATCCCAGATATTAGATCTAAACTTCCAGACCTTAAATTTGGTAAATCCCAGTTTAACATCAATTCATAGTAATCCAATCGAATAAAGTAAGTATTGCTTTGAATCATTAACCACGCCCGTTTTAGTTATGGACAGAATTGCCTAAAACTTTGGTCTAA